TTTAGCCAAGCAAATCAACTGCGCAGTGAGAAATTGGAGAAAGTGGTTTTTCTCAGCAGTATCTGCCAGTTCTATCCTAAGCAGCCAGATCCCAGATGAGCCCCAGCTGCGAAAAGGGATGCAAAACACTCCCTCCTTCCAGGGCCAGTAAGTGGCCAATGGAGGAATCTGAGACATGGTGCCTATCTATTGCGTGTTTTTAACCCTGTCCAGTTATTCTTTCCTGCCCTCTCCAAAGTATTGCTATTCCCTCAGTCCACATTCAGACATACACCTTTTTTTTTGTCAGCTACTTAAAATCATTAAGTGAACTTAATTAGGTTTGTTAATCCCTAAGGCTGAATGGGTGGCAAATAAGGCCTATATTCACTGTCCATTAACAGTCTGTTGCTGGAATGAGATGGTGCCTTTTTCGAGCTGTGTGTGAGCAGCATCCACATTTCCTAGGCAGGGACCTGCTTGGTGAGTCTCTGAGGCACCCAATTCCAAAGCTGCCCCTCAGAACCTGGCCCACTGCCCAAATGGCCACCTCCCAGAATCCCCCTGGGTCAGTTTTCAACAGGCCTCTCTATAAAGCTGAATGAGTCAGAGTGGATGCATTCTCTCTGCAAAGCCAGGCTCCAACCAAGATCTCTAGCCAAGCCTGTTTTAGCAACAAGCTCCAAATCCCTTTGGCAAGAAGAAAAAGGAAAAGCAACAACAACCCATGCAATCAGAAGTGTCTACTTTGGAGAAACAGAAAGAGCTGGACAGGTCTGGATATGAAGGGGCAGGGAGTGAAATCTCCATTACTAAAGAAAGAGGAGGCTCCCCTGTCACATTTCTTAGCACAGATCAGTGAGGAAGCAGGAGGAAACCTTGCAGGAACTCCAGTGCCTCCTCTCTGACCAGGTTGCCCACCAGAAAGAAGGGGAAGTCCCTTCTAGCCATGGGGACTCTGCTTCCTTCCCCACCAGTGCAAAAGCTTTAGAAGCAGGGGAGTAGTGTACATTCATAGAATCACCTGGACCCTGCAGATTTGGCATGCACCTTGTTCTCCTTCAGTCCCAGAGTGGTTCACAGGAGCATGTTAGAAGTTTCCCTCAGTCTCAGCTGTCTCCCTCGATCCCACCTGTTATAGTACTCTGACCTGAGACCACAGCTGACTCTGGAGAAAATCTTGGTGTCTGTACCTTTGGGGGAACCTAACTGTAAAGAGCATTTGAGCCAGAAAGATTCTGAGAGTCTTGAGGAAGTCCAGCCCATCTCCAGCAGGGAGAGGGCAAACAGAGCCAGGAGGGACCTCTTTTTCACCTAAGTCTCAGGAGAAAACACAAAACCAGGTACCATTCCAAATAGAAAAGCCTAAATCTGGGTGGGACTGACCCACCTGGTCTCTTGGCCAGTCACAGAAAAGGAACTCCTGGACTGGTCCTGCTGTGCCCTCCCTGTCCCCTCACCTGCCACTCAGACCCCATTCCCACACTGCCTCCACTTCACCCTAGCCTCCCCACCCCTGCCATGGCGCACCTTTGTCCCACCTGGCCCTTCCCTGAGCCTCTGGAGCCTGGCACCCTGGGGCAGGGTTGGCAGTGTGGCCCCTGGGTGGACAGAGGCCGCATCACATGTTGTCATGGAGTCTTCTCTGGTTGTTTTGAGAGCTCCTGGCTCAAAATATGCACCATTCCCAGTGTCAGTCAAAGTCTCTTAAACAGCAGCTGTCACTGCCATTGCCTCACAGACACTTTAGAGACTCTTCCATTGACAAATCATCCCAGCCCCGGCTTGCATCATACCATCCATGCTAAGAGGCCCAGTGGCTGTTAGAGAACTTTTCAGAAGTTAATTCTCTGAGTTATAAAGAATGAAGGCACAGAGAGGAGCCGGGAGACCAGGGATGAGAGGGGACACATGCGGCTTCCCGGAAGGGCCCATGGAGGGGACAGCAGGGATTTTCTCCCTCCTCCCACTCCACAAGCATACATATATCGCTTACTTGCTCAGGCACCTCGGGTCCTCCTGGCAGGTACTTGCACTGCAATCAGTACCTACCTGGCCCCTCCATCTGTGGATGACAGATCGGGAGATCTGGGTGGAAATAGGAGTGGTGGGCTGCTGCAGGGCCCTTGCCCACCTCAGCACAGGAGCATCAGGCAGCTCTGCCTTCCTGATGCTTCTACCTAGGAGTACGCTTCTTTCCACTCCCCCCCTTCTGAGGAGTCTTAAGTGCCTGTTCTCTTAAGTGCCTATTCCCTAGAGCTTGCATTTGCTTTAAAGAGAACAAGGCAGCAGTATTAGGGCCCTAGGTTCCCAGATAAGTTTCCCAGGCCGGGCTTTGTGCAAGGTGACACAGGCACAAGCCAAGAACTTGTCCACAGACCGTGTTTCCTGTGGAGCCCTGGGGAAATCATGGCTACGCCCTTGCCAAGGCTCATGGAGAAACTCCGTGCAGGTGTGTCAGGTCTGTGTATCAGACCCACATGCAGAAGTGCCTCTCACCTTGCAATTGACCCTGTCTTGTCTCTACCTTTCATTCGTCCTCATCCTGCCATGGTGATCCCACCATATTTATCCTTAAAGAGCTCTTTGCTTTTGCAACTGTCTTGTTGGAAACTTGCAATGCACCTCCCACCGCCATTCTTTTATGAAATGACAGTAGAGACTCTTTAGCCTGGCCTCTAAGCACCTCACCATCCTTACCTCCATCCACATCCCTCACACCAAGTGGGACAGTCCCTGTCTTGCAACAATTCCTTCTCCTCACCATGCTCTATTCTCCTGGTACCCACATCTGGTATCCTCTCCTACTTCAAAGCCAACTTAAATCCACCTCCCCTGTGAAGTCCTCTAAGCTCACCAGCCCAATGTAAGTGCTCCTTCCCCACAGCCCACTGCACAGGTTCCTGTGCTCACTCGCCCAGCATCCTCCCGTGTCCCAGAATAGACTGTGGGCTTCTCCATGGGACACTCCTCCTTCCACACCCAACCAACTACCAGGCCTCACTGCTGGTCTGTCCTGTGGAGGAGGGGCATATAGACCCCACCATGGGGAACATGGCTTAAGGGGACCAGGGTGTCTGGCCAGGGATACAATAGATTCAGTCATTTCTTCTTTGGAATCAAAGCAGATTGGGTTCTCTAATTTTGGCTATCAGACAAAAAGGATTGTGACCAGATTTCACAAGATAGGTGAAGGCCCAGGCAGAGTGATGGAGTAGTAGTTCCGTTAAGAATAATCAATCACAAATGCACTATTTAGTTAGAGTTAACTCCAGGACTTTCCTCCATGGGAGGCACTAACTGCTCTCTGGCCAGAAATCACCCAGCCAGCATCTGCCTCTTCTGCACGGTGACCAGAGGTCATCAGCTTATGGTCATAATGGGGACTTCCCACCCTGCTGTGGCTAACTTCTGGCTCCATCTTCACTCCCTCGCTACAAACAAGTGTGAGCACATATTCTCTCCCCCTCCTTTTCCTCCCTGTGTGCCTTTCTTCCCTCCACGAACAGGCTGTCTCTGGTCATTCCTGCAACCCTCCCTACTCTGCTGGCTCCAGGCTGTCAGTCCCACCCCTGTGCTAGTTTTCCACTCTTGCCACGCCCTCCATTCTACCTGGGTTTGTTCGTTCTCTCTCTCTCTCTCTGTCTCTCCCCCCACCTCTTTCCCTCTCTCCCTCTTTCTCTCTCTCCTTTCCCCCTTTCCTAACAGTTTTATCAAGTTAAAATTTCCACACCATAACATTTTCCCATTTTTAGTGTACAAATCAATAACTTTTAACAAACTTACAGAATGATGCAAAGAGCACCACAATCGGGTTTTACAGCATTTCCATCATCCCAACAAGAGCCCTTGTGCTAGTTTGTAGTCAGTATCATTCCCACTCCCAGCCCCAGGCAACCACTAATCTATTCTCTTTCTTTGTAGATTTGCCTATTCTCGATGCTTCCTGTACATGGAATCGTTCCTTATGAGGTCTTTAATTTATTCTGGCTCCTTTAACTTAGCATAATGTTTTTGAGATCCATCTATTTTATAGCGCGTCTCCTGGCCCGCTCTTTTTTTACTGCAGAATAGTATCCCACTGTATGGCTACAGGCTTCAGCCAGTCACCAACTGACAGGCATGGCTTTCCTCTCTTAATATTTTAACATCTATGCCATACACTTCACACTCTTCAGCAGGTAATTCTGGATTGACTTCCTGAAGGGCGAGAAAGGTTTTCAGGGTTCTCAGAAAAACTTCACTTTATAGCAGGAAAGAGCTGGTTGGCTGACAGCCTTACAGGAGGGTAATTTCCCAGGAAATAAATGAACCAAAGGTATTTTTCACTGTTTATTTCACTCTAAAGCTTTCTCTGGCTGCAGTCGGAGGACCTGGCCCTCCAAGGCTAGGAAAAGGCTGGAAAGAAACATGATCTCAAGGAGTCATCATGAACACTTTATGACCCACTCTGTTAGCTACAAACACTCCCAGGAATAATAGCCATATCACTTAATATTTAACAACCAGTTGGGAACTGCAAGTGATGGTGGCCAAGACCCAGGATGCTTGAGGCCACTACCACCAGGAATTAACCCTTTGTTTGCTGGTCAGTGGGAAAACCCAGGGGGCACCAGGGAAGGAGCTTCCTTGCCTGAAGTGACGAGCAAGGGGCACTCGTGTTCTTTAAAGGTTGACATAGAGTATGTTGATATTTTAATAATGACTTCAATCCCATGGGTAAGCACCAGCTGAATATCAAACCCACACTTGCATAACTCCTGTAACCCCAGAAAGCAAAAGAGGTCTCTTCTGGTTTTCAGGGAGTCCTGGGCCCAGTCCCTGGACTCCAAATTGGTTTTTTAAGGTGAGGCGCCAGCTATCGGCAATCCTTCTGAAAAAGTTATGCTCAGTGTTGGAGAAGTTGCTCAACTGAAATTCTGAGCTAGGAGACCAGCACACAAATGCTGGACATCATTCTAGGGCATGCCCCATCCCCCCACCCAGGTTGCTTCTCACACACATTCCTCTTGACACTACAGGTTCTGGCTGCAGATGGTTGCATGGTGGGGACAAGGATCCCGAGCCACCGTGGCTTTTGACAATATCTCCATCAGCCTGGACTGCTACCTCACCAGTGAGTTCACCCGGCCCCAGCCCTCTGTCTGCCCAACCCCAAGGACCCATGGCTGTACTACCCTCCTTAACCTAAGCCCAATCATCTCTCCCCCTTCCCCAGTGTGAACTCACCTCTCTCCCTGAGATTGAGCCTCATCTAACTCATTCCATGGGGTCTTCTCATTGCAGTCAGTGGGGAGGACAAGATACTACAGAACGCAGAACCCAAATCGAGAAATCTGTTTGAGAGAAACCCAAACAAGGACCAGAAAACCTCGAAAAATACATCTGAACAGCCTCCCACCTTTGACCCGACAGGTAAGGGTTCAGCTCACAAATTTGAGCAATGTAAATTCTGGTTTCAAAAGGCAGAAGAAAGGTACGTGCTGTGATTGGGGTGGGGAGTTATGGTCAAAGAATAATACGGCCAACCTTTAAGAGGAACGTCACCTGCATTTTGGTTAGGAGGCCCCAAGAGAAAACTGTGAGCGTCTCCTATTGCCTGAGCAATGGAAGCCACCGGAAGTTGTGTGAAGGAACAAGTTTCCTCCACATCTGAGGAACCCCAGGCCCCACACAGATGGGAGAACCAAGTGGGTACTCTTTCCTCAACTCAATTCCTTGAAACTACCTCCATCTACTGAAGAAAGCAAACCTGACCACCAGATTCCCTCTCTTCAGGAAGAGGGTTGATCTCTAGGCCAAGGCTCTTACAGAAGAGTGGGCCACCCTACCAGAGCAAAGCCCCAGATGCCTCCCCAGAGCGGGATCCCTGACAGAGCTCTTCTGATCAGTGTCCCCCAGGCTAGAGGACTTGTCATGGGGATAGGTGCCACTTCTCAGTCACTCTTCCTATCTCCAAATTCAGTGGATGGTCCTGGCGGTTATGAGATCAGAGGCTGGGAGCCTAACCCCAGAGAAGCTGAGGCCATAGAGACCTCATCCCAGAAAGTGACAGGGTTCTTCCAGGGTGGCCTCAGGGTCTGAGCACGTGAGGCTTTTCAGACACCAGTAACCTCCGGAAGCCTCTGCCCGGCACACAGTCCACCTGCACTCTCTTTCTCTTTTTCCTAAGAAACGTGTTTATCACAATGACACAGACATGATAAATCTCTGATTTCTACTTATGATGTAAAGTTCTTATACAGTACAAAGGATTAAAAATAAGGTAGAGACTACAGCTTTGCCACTAAATTTACTGATTCCCCCTTATTGATTAATGTCAGTTTTGTTTAATCCTTGGAGAACTCCTTTCCTTTCTGTCCCCCTCCCAAAAGCTACCTTAAGACTGACCCTCACCCATCCCTGTCTCCTGTCTGATCCAACCCAACTGCCAACCCCATGGGAAAGAGTTTGTTGCTTTTCCTATTGTTTCTGACCTTTGCTGCCTCCTTCACCTTCCACTAGAACCTGAAAAACTTTTCCATTCTTCCACACAGAGGGGAACCCAGCCTGCAGGACGCCCAGCCTTCTCTATTTCTCCAAATGCCCTCATGGTTCATGGAAATGTCTAACCTGAGGGAAGCAGCCTACAACCTTTCCCACCCAGTGTCCCTTCCTGCCACTCAATCCCAATAATTCACATCCATTTACATGTTCGCCTTTGGCCAACTACTATCCCCTTGTGATAAATTCAGGAAATTTTTACAAATTTATAACTTTATAAACTTAGGAAAGAGACCAAATTTTCCTTTTCAGTATGTTAGGAAAACATGGCAGCAAACCCCCTGCTCTGGCCTAACCACCGGCACTGATTACATAGCAGGGCTCCAGAAACATCTATTGATTGACTGGTGGGCGGCCGGAGGCTCGAGCTGGGTTCTCAGATGTCAGCAGCCATCAGCCCTGCAGCTGGCACTTAAGACACAGCCGTCCACCCTGCCTGGGTCTGGGTTTATTGCCACATAACCCCCACTGTCCCTAAAAGGCTAATCAATAAGGGCCTGCCCAATGGCCACTCAGGCTAATGAAATCACGGGATGGCTCAAAAGTGGTGAAGACTCCCCACCACTTCCAAATAGAATTAGAAGTGAGTGGAGCCTGAGGGGTGGGAGTGACTTCCACTGAAATGCGAGCTTTGCCTACCAAGTATCTCCACCCCAAGTCCTCAGCCCACCTCAAGATACAGGCAGTAGCTACTGACCAGTGATCTCTTCACTTCTGGATGGAAGAGGACATTGAGCCAAATACATCCTTGGGCAGCCTCATCAGCCACCCGGGGCTCCTTGGGAAGGCTCTGGGACACCTAAGAAGGAGCCACTACTTTCCCAGGAGCCCACTGCCCCATGGAAAAGCAGCTTGGGTGCTCAGCAGCAGGAGACATCTCTCCATCATGACTTAAAACCCCTAGTTTCATCCTGCTAAAGATTCTTGCAAATCTGAGTTCGCCTTTGGCCAACTACTACCCCCTTGTGATAAATTCAGGAAATTTTTACAAATTTGTAACTTTATAAATTTAGGAAAGAAACCAGATTTTTCTGTGGAGGTGTGGGTGTCTCTGTTTGGAGGGCAATTTCCCAGGAAAGGTCCACTTAACCCTTGGACTCAGCCTCATGGTCAGGAGGAACTGGCCACCTTACCCCTACCCTCACCTGGCTTTCTCCAGACCCACCTGCAGTCCTGGCTCACTTGCTCTGTGGCCAGATCTGAGCTCAGAGATGCTGAGCAGATGTGACCCAGGTGAGGAACTCAAAGAGCTCCCAGTCTAGAACAGGAAAGGGTTGGTAGATGATTGATTGAACTAGAGTCATGTGCCTCCAACAAAGAGGGCCAAGGAGGGGTCCTGAGGATTCTTGAAGACCGAGGCCAGGCCACACCTCTTCAGAAATAATCACCCAGCAAAAACATGTCCCTAGCACCTCCCCTGTGCCCAGCACTGTGTGTGGCTACAACAGGGATCAGGCTGACCAGACTCGCCCTTCTGGAGCTTCTGGCCTGGGGGAGGAGAGCAGCCCGTGAACCTGCAGGATGGGCCTTCAGTGCCAGTTGTAACCTAGCTCAGAGCTTCTAACCTGGCAGGGACCCCTAGAAAAGGACGGAAGGACAGGGCCTGGTGTGGGGGAAGAAAAGGAACAAACACTGAGTGGCCCTGATCCTGGGCTACAACATGGCTTTGCTCATCAACTTGTCCCCACATTGGCCCTGAGATGGTTACTGTTGTTACCATCATAGGGAAAAAGAAAATGGCCGAAAAGGAATTCAGAGTTCCTTGGCTGGCAGGGAGCGGGGCCAGGGTGTGAACCCAAAGTGCACACCCTCTCACCCAGCTAAACCACGGCCAGGTACAAACGTCTCCTGTCAGAGATAAACACCAAAATGGGAAGAGGTAGGAGAGTGCCCCGATAAGAGCCCCTGCATGATCAGTAAACGAATCAGCTCCCAACGCTGTGACAAAGAATCGAGGAGACAAGATAATAAGATTTTCTTTCCAAAGTTCAGCGCTGTCAGTTTCTGCTGAGCTGGAACAGGGGTGGCTGGTGGCATTTCTGCTCTCCTCCAGGCAGGTGTTAGAGCCACCCCTAGAAACACAAAGGCCAAATCGGGCCTTTGGGAAACGTTACTCACAAAGCTCCCAAATTTCCCTAAATACGCCTCATGTCCCCCAAGCCATTCAGCCTGACTCCCTCACCTCGAGCCCAGCGGGGGCAGACTGAGCCGCTGGAGCCTCTCGTCAGGGTAAAGGTGCTTCACAAGGGGTTCTCGGAAGCCTCTGAGTCACTTTAGCTAATCAGATGAAGAAGCTGAAGGAGAAAATGGGGCAAGTATTAAGTCCAGGGAAATTACATTTGTCAGCTTTGCACATGCAATTACGCTAACCAAATGGTTGGGATAATGCAATCACGGCTGCAGAGCCGGCCCTCGCCCTCCCTCCCTCTCATTCTCCCGCCCCCACCACCACCTCTCCCTCTCTCCCTGTCTCCGTCTCTGTCTCTCTCTCTGTCTCCCTCTCTTGTGGTAAGAGACGATGTTAGAGGTGCGGGGGTATAAGTATGCCCTGCCACCTCCCTGCCTGAAAAGCCCGGGTGAGGACAAGCAGTCCCCAGGGGCCAACACGCCTCTGCCCTCTCCTTGGAGCTCAGATGCTACATTGGAAGATCTAAAGGGCTTCAGCTCAGTGAACATGAGACCCAATCCCACAGTTCCAGCTGTGGAGTCCTGTCTTTAAAACCACATCCTTGCCTTTAAATCATCTGGTAACAGTTTGCTTCACCATTTTCAGAGTGTAGTGTATCTCTTGCCAAAGTGGGGAGAAAAGCAATGAAATGTAGAATCCTGTAAGAAAAGAGGATCAGGGGTCCAAAGCTCTGCAAGGGGTCCCGGCTGGTTTGCACTAGCAAGCTCCATTCCTGGGGCCACTCCACCTCACATGACCTCCTGGACATGTCAATGAACCTTCCAGTAGCAGATTAGTAGCAGCTGGGGTGAGAAGGACTGATGTGAACACAGACAAGGGCAGATATTGCTGTTTTCACAAAGTCAAGGTTTGAGGTAGACAGTCTCCAAGTCCCTTCCCATTCCTAGCCCCACGATTCTGAGGGCCGACGGGATTTGACGTAAGGGAGCTGTAGCTTTATTTGGTCCATCTCTCCAATTAACCTGTGGCCCAGCTAATGTGCCCAGGAGTCAGGGTGACAGACTGTCCATTTCCACACATGCTCCTGTGATTCAAGAACAGATGCCAATTCCAATGAGAAAGTTTTATGTGTTTCATATAAATTGATTGGGTCTATTTCTGCTAAATGCATTATCCATTCACAACAGAACAACTATTAGAGTTAATAGAATTTGTAGTTAGAGCCATTATGTTCCAAGCACGCCCTTCTAGGGATGACGGCATTATTGCAAGGCAGGCTTCGTGGGCCACCCCTTCCCCAGAGCCCATCTTCCCACTCGGTGGGCTTTGTTTCCCTCGGAGCCTTCTGCACACAGACCCCTGCCTCCCTGGCCAAGTTTACTTCAGCGACACACCCCTGTAGGAAGGCCCCTTCCCTTTGGTTCACCTGCTCCTAACTAAGGTGTTCAAATCCAGTTCTAAAAGGTCCCATCGTCTCATCGCTTGTTGGCATCACAATCACCCCATACCAGGCTGGGGGTCGAGAGGAAGCCAAGATGCCTTCTTTTAGTCTTTGTTCTTCACCGTATGCCAGTTTGGGAGGCAGGAAGTCCCAAGATGTGAGTGGTCAGGAGACAAGTCCCAAGATGTGAGTGGTCAGGAGACTAGTCGGGGTGGGGGGAGCAAGAGAGCCACTCAAGTTAAGCTCTTGTCATCCACAGTATCCTAGAATTGCCCAATTGTGGGCATAGTCCAGGCCTTCCCA